TGCCAGAGTCTCAGGCCCATTCACTTGTGCGTGAATATCAAAGAAACGTTTACTAATTCATTTGAATAATACTCGCATTTCCTTTTAAATGAATTGATATAGTCTTATCATAACCTATTGATTGCTATCACATTACATTATGCATGCCCAGTAATTAGATAACCCTAGACCAAAGTGTGTTAGTGCTAAGATGGGATGTTTGATGTGTGAACTGCGTTAAAAATAACAATGTTACTTGTATTGTTTTCACGTAGCTTACACACAATGCAATTGCCTATCACATTGTATTAGGATGTCACTGGAACTAGATTGCTGGTGAAAGCAAAGCAAGTAGAATGCCAACTTCAAAACAAGAGCCATTGAGTTCACAATGGGAATTTACAGATTTAATCTGCATTCCTCATGCACAGCCAACAAAGGAAGGCCCAGAAGGTGGATACAGAACCTGTCAAGGTAGGGGGTGTGTGTGTGTGTGTGCAAAGAAGATATAAAAGATGGATTCGAGGAAAGAGCCTTCATCTCTGAACTTCTTGGACATTCACAGGGAAGCATTCCAGAGCAAGACAGACATCCCAAAAGTTATTTTGGGGAGCCCTGAGAGATTTATGGAAAAGTAGCAGATTACTACATCTCTGCTATAATTTTGGACTTACAAACTTTGATTCAACTGTTAGTGTATTTTACCTGCTTTAACCTCTCAACTTTTTTTTTTTTTTTTTTTTTTGCTAATAAGCTGTTAGCTTACTAGAGAAATAGGCTGCTAGCACTGTCTTTGGTGTGAACTTGAGTATCTATTGACCTGGGGTAAGTGCCTGACCCTTTTGAGGTTGGGAGTAACCTGAAGTGGTGTGATTTGTGGTGTTATTTTTGGTTTTAATAACCTCTTATCACTAAGTTCAGTTTTTCTGGGTGGCAAGACAGGTTGGAGGGTCTTAAGGAGATTGTCTGTGACTCCATAGTGATCCAGGAGTGCACATTTGTTACTGGCTTGGTGAAATCTAATTATAGAATTACTCCTGGGGGAATTCTATACCAAAAAATTAAATTCTTCACACAATATTTTAAAATTCTGCATATCTTATTTGTCAAAATAACACAACATAATCATGACAGTTTCAATTATTTTGGTAACTTATGTCAAAATACTTGTCAGCAAGTATGTCAATACAAAGATTCAGGAAACCTTTTTTTTTTGACAAATAGATTCCATGCTAGGCATATTAAAATGGAACCTTGAGTAAGTCCTTTAAACTAAAATACAGAAACTTATTTCCCACACCCCTCAGAAGCAGTGCAAAGGCTTGGAGTCAGAGTAATTGCTGGGCAGGAGCCTGTGAGTGAACCTGGAGGGTTATTGCGTGTGGGTGGGTGAAGTATGGAAGATTTGGTTTTGGGTTTGTTTTGGGGGGGGGGGGAATTGTTAGGGAGATGCAGAGCCTCCCCTATGCAGACTCTGGCTGACCAACTACTCTCCCATTCAGTCTGCTATATCTGTACCTATCCCCATGTACCCCTGCATTCCTCCCCCATTCAGCTCCTGGCTCAGTGCTATCACCCCACTAGCACTTCTGAACTAGTCTGTGACTGCCCCCCTTCCCATATCCCATGTCTCCTCACCTGGCCCCATGGGCAGGGTACTGTGAGGGAAAGCAGCCTTCCCACAGCAGGCTGCTCCGGCTGCCCTCTCTTCTGGCACCACTGCAGCCCCTGGTGGGCAAAAGGTGCAATTGCAGCACCTCCCCAGCAGAATGTAGTATTCTGCAAGGGGCAAAAATCTGCAGGGGACATAACTTCAACACATGCACAGTGGTGCAGAATCCCCCCATGAGTATAGAATATACCACCAGTTTGGGGTGTCTAACTTATTTTCTGACAGTCTGGTCTCAGACCAGACTCTCTCAGTTGTAAACCACTCCAGACAGCATGACACTGACCTTTGCCATATTACCAAAAGTAGGTAGTCCTAAATTGATCCCTTCAGTTGCACATAAGCTCACATGTATGATTTACAGGGCATCATGTGACATCCCAATCCATTCAGTGACAATACACACCCCTTTTTCAATTATATGTGCATTATATCCAAGACCACCTTTTGCATGTGCCCTTTCAGGTTGTGATGATACCCATGCCCTCTCTTGCCTGTTTGAGAGACTTCTCAGGTCCCAGGGAAACTACATTTATAGCCTTGGTTAGGGATGCCTTAGCTTGGTCTGGCTCCCACTACAGCAATGAGGATTGTGGTGAGCTACAGCTCAATTTGCTAATTATCTGACAGTGGGGCAGCAGCAATATAGTTAAAGCTATCCTTCACCATTGGAGAAGGTAGACTGAGCAGATCCACATGCAGGCACAGCGGGGTACCTACTTTGCCTTTCTTTCATTCTGGCTCCTGCTCTTGCAACTGTCTGGCTTGTACACCTCATCTGGCTCCAAACTAGGGTGTGGAGCAGTAATGTGACTGAGCAGTGCCTGGGGGAGTTCACTTCACTCTGCAAGAGGTTCTTAGCTGATCCAACAGACTTTAGTTTGTTCATGTCTGTGGCACACAAAGCCCAATTGCTTCATCCACTTTGCCTGAGGCTGTGAAGGGTAGGGTTATAGTCCTGAAAGTCCCTATATTACCTCATATTTATGAACTTGTTTTAACATATACACATCCCCAAATAACTTGTGATGGGAGCACACTCTAAATTAGAAAATAAATACAATAAGCAACTAGAACTCAAGTCTTCGCCAAGTACCCACTCCTCCTGCTGTTGCAAATAAAACTGGCACTCTTAGTTAAGCATACCACCCAAATCCTGCCAGGTGCTCCCAGAGAGAATGAAGTGCACCTATTCCTGCACTCAAAAGTAGAGGCTGCTCAGCAGGTCTTTCACAACAGCATTAATAGAACAGCAGAGGGGATCAGTGGGCATGGTCTGCTGTACAGCCCTAACTACAGCACCAGGGCCCCAGTCAGTTCCCTGGGCCAGAATAAAGATAAAATTTGGGAGCAGGAAAAGTCTCTGGTCTCTTTACCAAGCACCATATGTTTGCTTTGTAGCAGTAGGGCTATGCTCTGTATGTGTGTGCGTGTGAGATCCTTCCACTCCCCTTTGGGAATGCCTTATTTTGCATGTTGCCTAGCTGTTACTGCCCTGAGATTGCCTGTAATGGGCATGAAAGAGGCTCTTGGTCTCATTGGTACATTACCCTTTCCAGTTGTTTAGGTATTCACTGGTTGGTACGTACTACTTTCATGTTTGATTGTATTTTCTCTTTTGTCTCAACTCTTATCCATTGTAGTGGATAAAGCTTGTCAGTGTGGTGACTAGGCTCTAGCATTCCAAGTACTTTACAAGGGCGGCTAAAGCATTATGCTGTGTGCAAAATGAGGGTAACAACTAAGGACTGAGCTTTAAAGCAATATGCTGGAGAAATATTTTGGTTTATTAGGTACAGCACTGGATGAGCACACAAAAGGGTCAGAGTTCTGGGCTCAGATCTGCCTTACATCTCCTGTGTAACAGTGGGCAAGTCACTCAACCTCCGAATTACCCTTATCTATGAAATGGAGCAGCATTTTTTTTTTTTTAGTCCCTCTAGGAGTATGTGGTGTCACTCAATTAGATTGTAAACTCTAAATCTCTGTTCTCAAAGAAGTGAAAATAGAAGTCATGACCTCACCACTCAGTGCTGTATTAATTCCCCTGAGCCAAGCAGGGATTCTGGTGAGGAAAGCAAAAAGAGAAGGAGTCCTTTAATTAGATCTTGGGTTTTCCAAAAACACCTGGAAAGCTGTCTCAGCCGGTTTGAGTAGTTTCCTACACACACTGCTTTGTTCCTTAGGTGTACACTTAACCAACTCAGCAACACTCTATTCTGCACGGTGCAATTTTTGAATGTTCATAATTCAGTCAAATCAAACCAACTGCTGCCAGAACAAGACTGTGTCTCACTGAAGACTATTTTCCATGCAAAACTGAAACTTTCAAACAATCATTTTGGCTGCAGGGCTGTTCAAAACAGGATCCAAACTGTTATAAATGGAAATGCATTTTTTTCAGTCACCTTTCTCTCAAAGGGTTGAAATGTTTTTGCTAAAACTTTTCACAACCAAAAGCTATCCTTTAGGAAGAGGAGAAGCATGGAAAATCTCAAACTCCCAAACTCTCCAAGAGCGTGTGTTACCAAAGCTCTGTCTGTCCAAGAACAGGGCTCTAGACCAGAAACCGTTTTGCAACTTTAACTATCGTGATTGCTGCTGCTCTAACTACAATATCCGTTTAACAAAACTGCAGCTGTTTCACCACAGACCACATCTCTCTCTCCTGTTTATGGTGCACCATAAACAGCTTAATGTAAGACTATTTCTTAACCTTTTCAGGTTGGCAACCCTTTATTTGAAGCCCAATTTTTGCACCCCCCCTAAATCAGTGATACTCAGAGTTACAGGAGCCAAATTAGCAATCAACATTACCCAAAAGACCCACAGTGGTGTGAATTCATTGTTTCATTTACTATAGCACTATAGTCAATCACAGTGTTTTAATCTGATGTGCAGTAAAGAGCTGTAGGAGACGTATTAGAGAGCCACTTGCGGCTTGAAAGCCTTAGTCTGAGTATCACTGCCCTAAATTTTTGGTAAAAGTTTAAAAAAAACAAAAAAACCCCCAACAATCTATTAAGGATAAACCCATATAAATCATTTGTGTTTTGAGAGCGTGACAGGGAATATTTGATCTTGAAAAGTAACTGTGTGGGAGAACAAGATTTTTGGTTTAGACTGTAATAAATTTTTCAACACCTCATGGCTCCCTGTGGGTCACAATCCCCAGCTGAGAAACACTGATGTAAGAGGAATCGGAGCTGGTATGAATATTAACTGGAGGAAGTGGCACTGTATTTCATGCTACAATTCGTCACAACACTGTACATACATTTTTCACTCCAGACACACTAGAACAAATTTTTGCATCAACACTGAGAACTTTATAACTATGGAAATCAGCATCAATGGTTGGATTAATATTTTAATAATTACACACTTTTTACATTATGAAAATAAGTCATAAATAGTGTAAAAATAATTCCGAAGATCAACTTCTCACAAGCTAGGACCAAAAACCCAAGTACAAAACTCAAAACAAAACAATATTAAAAACTGAAAACCAATGAGAAGCTTTCAAAAGGAAACCAAAACCATGCTGTTTGAACCAGAGGCCACAATAAAGTGGAAATAACAAATTAAAATGGATTATTTAAACATTGATATTATTTACACTACTGGGCAAAACAGATTTTGTGCCATTATTTACAGTGATAAGACACTCCAAATAGTTGTAACAGAACTGATTACATGAGACTGACCCAATGTTTTCCCAAAAGCAGTGTAACTCTTGCCAAATTACTTTTCATTGCATTTTCATCTCCTCTACTGTACTTACAAGAGACCATTTGCAATACAAAAATAACTGCACTTATAGATGAAAAAAGTAAAAAATACAAATAAAAATATATATAATATTTTGCAAAGGAAAAAAGTCAGATACATACATCTTTAAAAAAAATGTTACTAGGCTGTATGGTATTATATTTTCCCAAACATGTACAATAATATAAGAATATTCACATAAATGTTAACGATATGTAAAACATTCTTCTTCTACAAACCAACCTCTTCAATAATACTTCAGAGAAGTGTGCAAGTATCAATGGTATCTGGGAAATTTATATAATTTCTTGGTTAAACAAATAAAACACTAAAGGTCCCAGTTGGGTAAGGCCCTCGATCTCCAAAGAAAGACAATTGTTTCTAAGCAGCATTAACTTGATATATTTAAAATTACAAAACAAACAACACTCCAGAAGGTTATTTTTAATATGTTACTCCACAAAAGAAGTGGAATCTATGTTTGAATTCTATCAGATATGAAGATGGCAGACACTTGTTTGCATGAATCCAACCCCCATGTAAAATACTTCAATAACAGAAGGTTTGAGTGAATCTTTGTTTTCACATTACTGTAACATTGATTCATAAAAACAAGTTGCCATATGAAAGAAAGCAATCAGATGATAGGTGTATTATTTTAATGGCACCAGGAAAATGAATCAGTATCCACAACCACCAAACTCCATGTTTGCTTCTGATGTGTCTCTTTGCAAAGATCAGCACTTCTGTGAGAGACTTTTTTTCCTTTGTGAAAACCGAAGTGTTCTCCTCGGGTAAAATGTAAAGATACAGATTTACAAATACATATGTATGATGGACAAGTAGTGGAAGTAAGGAAGTTTGAAAGAAAATGTCAACTTCTGCATGTCCTTTAGGACCTTATTCGCTTTCAGAAAAGTGAGATCATTCCTGCAGCCACAGTCCCATTGAAGCCAATGGATATTCGCTCATGATTAATAGTGCTTAGCTCTTCTATAGCACTTGTAATTAGTAGATCTCAAAACACTTTACAAAGGAGGTAAGAAGTATCATGATCCCCATTTTACATGCGGGGAAACTGAGGCACACAGTGAAGTGACTTGCCCAGCATGGCAGTGGCGCAGCTGAGAACAGAATCCAGGGATGAAACCCTGGCGTAAGTCAACGGAACAACTCCCATTCTCTTCAATGAGGTCAGGATTTCACCCCATTTCCTCTGACTTCCAGCCCAGTGCTCTAGCCATTAGACCACAGTGCCTGCCCTTAAGTAGTTAAGGACTGCCAGAGGCAGGGTTGTAGTATGTCCCAGTGTCATCATCAGTCAACAGTACCTAATTTGTGTGTATTCAATATGATAAAGCTTCAATTTTTCACAGTGTACATAACACTGACTCTTGAAGATAACCCGTTTTAAGCTATTAGAGCACATGTGCTTCTTTTTATGGATGCAGACATGCTGATTTGACCTCTTTCAAACTTTTCACGAATACTTCTATGGTATACAGAGAAAACACATATAAACAGCTGGATGCACAGAGTCATTCTGCCTCACCAGATTGTCAGACAGTGACATCAAAATCACCAATACATTAAAAAAAATATTAAAAGAAAAATAACTTATCAATACTGAGAATGAATGTTTCATGCTTTACTTTATAAAAAATGAGGTTTCAAAACATCCTGTAAGAAAGTTCTCCCTCCTCCCTCCCCAACTAGCTTATGAAAATGAAGACAAAAGGCCACTGTTCAATGTGACTGCAATACACTTAAGTTAAAGATACATAAGAAGATTGGTACCAAATAAATACTGAAAATCCTAAGCAAAGGAACAAGAAATAACCACAAAACAAAGCGAGGGATACAGAACCTAAGTAAATTCATGTCCTCTATACATTTTTACTGCTGAAAAGGTTGGTAGATGAACCACTGTTTCTGCATATTCACAAAATTTAACAAAGCAAATGAGGAATGCTACTAAAATGTAATAATAAAACAGGTGGTTCAAACCAAAGCTGCATTGCCAAACAAAAAAAAAAGATATAATAGCACCAAAACCAATTGTCTTTAAACTAAACAAATATGTTGCAAGTCTTCAGAGGGTGCTTTTCATTATGAAATATTCAACTTGAGCTACTTTGTCTGTACTACGTATCAACCTTTTCTAGATTTCCCCCCACTACTTTGCATGTTGTAGCCACCTTTTCAATACCACTTAATATGTATATATTACTGTTCTAATCTGACTGGTTATATTGATAACACTGCATGTCTACTAATAAGACCCTGTCATTTCAGTGGAATGATCCTTTCCTGACATTAGCCAAAAACCAAGACACCCATTCATGGACAGCAGAAGCATTCTTAGCTGGAGTGAGCAAAAATAAGCAATTTATGTTACTTATTTTTGTTTTTAAGTTTACATATATACAGTATGTATTCTGTGGGTCATTGTGTTAGTGACTATCGCACACTTATACCAGAGCTGAATTTTGTCCTGTGTTTAAGTCATCAAGTACTATCAACAGAACTATTTGTACTGTGATATTCCACACTACTGATTGTAAGCCTCAACAAAAGTATAGGAACTAAGGCTCATGCTTTTCTTGTTTACAAAATAGGATTTTTAAAGTTGATGTCAAATCAGGCACTGCAAAATATATTGGGGTGAGAAGGGACAGCATGGATTTAATAGTGCTTTAGTTTGGTGCTAACTCCTTAAAATGACTTGCTTTCATGGGTAATTCCAAGTTTTTGCTACCATATTCAGCATGCTAACACGATCTCAACTTTCCTCATTTAGTCTGCAAACACAGAATGTTAGGGAGAACATGTATGTATCCTGATTTTTTCACTAAAACTAGCTGACTCCATACTATTATTACCTTTTATCTTAATGTATATAGTTAATTTAGCTAACTGGGCAAATTTTCTCATTAGAAGGTAAGAATTACTATACTGCACTGGACAATAGACTATCTAGTCCAATAACTTGCCACAGAAAATTGGTGTTCCACAGAAAGATGATACTTCCAGTCCCCATATGCATAATGCACTTTGCCATTATGTATCATGTTAGGACATGGACAGGATTCTCTCCTGTTCAGAGGACAGCCTGAATTATTTCCCAAGAAACCAGAATAAAACTTGAAGGTGGAATGCTGCTTTTGCCCTGATCCTGTAATCCCCTTCATGGGTGAAACTTCCATTAAAGTCATTACTGTAACACTCAGACTTACAACAGTACATAACAAGTCTGTGCAAGCAGTGCAAGATCAGGCTGGTGGTGTTGGTTGTTAACACTTTTTAAGTAGAGTAAAACATCCATTTCTAGCAAAACATCACTGGGCTTTTAAAAAAATAATTGCACCCGTAAACTGGCTTTCTGTAGGAAACTAAGATGGAGACTTATGTAAGAAGCCATCTTTATAGAAGTAAAAAAAATTAACGCTCTCTCCTTGAAAAGTTATTTTCTTGACATGGTTTTGATATATTCAAATGGCAATAAAATATTATGCAGAATGAAATAAATGCCTACAGTGTGGGTTCTTGAGAGTCTAATGTGGTAGTAACTATCCACTTAAGAGTGAAATCATGATAGGTCCAGATGATCTACAAACCCACTGAGCAGCAAATCATGCATATTTCCAGGAATGGCAGGGTACCGACACATTGGTGGAGAAATACTCTTTTTCTGCAACTCTGTTTTTGGTCTGCCTATAAAATGAACTCTCAGAAATGTATATTAAAAGTCAGTGATCATCTCAATATGCAAAATTATTTGAATAGATCTAAAAAGAATTTGCATCTACTAAATACAGAACTGTTTCATAAAAATTAATCTCTTAATCTGATCACAAATGCACCATATGAAGACTCAAAACTGTAACTGAAACAAACAAATTCTCAGGGAGGCTCAAACTACAAAGTATGCACCAATTCAACGTTTCCAGTAATCAAAATGCAACGAAACAAAACAGTCTCTGCTTCTGTTGTGTACTAGTCACTTGATCAGAAATGGAAAAATAATTACACCTTATAGAGTGTATTGTGACTACCATATCATGATAATCACTTGGGCTCCCTCCTTTTCTACGTTCTTTGGGTAACCGTGTCCAGCAAAATCATTGCAATTGTAGAAAAAGAACCATGTGAATAAATCAGCTTGTGAAAGTAAAATGAAATAACTTTTTTCCATTAAAATAGATAATGCTGAAACAAGAGGAACACATGATGTGAAGTACTTCCTTCAAAGCCTAAGTATTTGTCACAACAAATCTGAAAGAGGCTACTGAAATTAATCTTCTGCAAGTTTTGAAAGCTAGGTTAATTTTGTTTCATCCCCCCCATAAAATACAAGAGTTGTGTAATTTAAATTGGATAATCCAAAACCCACACTACAGTACATACAGATCCCATCAGTTTCATTAGTCCATAGAGAGTGTTCTAAGACTCCCCATTGCCAAGAATGCTTTCCTTTAGCAACCCAAAAATACAATATGTGGGGCACATATTGTGTCAATCCTTGAATCAGACTGAGAAGCTTCTAATCTCAAATGGGGCCTGCGGTCAAACGATCCACTTGGCATCTTTGCAACCTTTTCAAACTGCCCACAGAGGAAGTCTGTTTTCTCCTTCAAACTTCTTTCCTTCTTGGTTAAACAGTTGACAGCACTTGGCATCTAAACCCATCTATCTTGAATGTCTTCGTGACAGTGAGCAGCGCAAGAAAAAACGATGCTGATCAACAGGCATGACCCCTTTTTGACCAAGGGAAGGGGTCACATGACCCACACAACTGGAAGCCGTCCACCTGCAGTTGGAACTGTGTTCCCCAAAAATTCAAGACCTTTTTCTAATCTCCTCTGCTTTATCTCTTTTTGGCAATAAGCCACGGTGTGACTCCCTTGAGATAACAAAAGGAAATAATTCAGGAGTTTGGATCAAAGGTCACAGTGAGCAGCCATTTAGCATGTGGAGTGATCACACAACAAGCAGGTTTGGCACACAATTCATGCTTTTTTTTTTTTTAGTCTGTACAAGCAGGGATGATGGCATGAATCAGTGATAGTGTTTAAGATGAACATGGAAGCAAAGTCAGTAAATTCCAATGGCAGTTGGTACAGTACATTTCATAGCATTTAGCTCATATTTGGTCACAATTTCATGTAAACTAGTTCATGGCACTCATTGTCCATGCAGGTCCACAAGCCAAAAATAAGAGAACTTGCAGAAAAAACTAAATCTCCATGATTTATCTCTGTATAGATATCTCTATAGAGAGACTAATCTTTATTTTTGCAGATTTCTCCTGTGGTTATATATATTGCCTAACTGCAGATGTAAGTGAAGAAAATGTACACATGGACTACTGCAAACAAGTAGAAGCAGCTACATGTAAACATATCTCAGACTTGTAAAATAAAATTTCTGTTTTCAACTATAAATACAAAAAGTGGAGCATTATACACAACTTCATGCTTCTAAGGTTAGATTCATCACTGCAAAGAGACAAAAAGAGATAAATTGGCCAGGTTAGTAATCTAGTAGCCAAACATCTATTCCAAGTATATAAAGATAGGGCAGAACCCCAAACATCTTTTATTCTCTTAACCACAAATGTGCTTCCAAAATGCCTATAATACTTATGGTTTTTTTTAAACTATTGTTCAGTGATGCGGTCACAAATATCTGTAACTTTCTAACCAGTGCCTCTAAATAACTTTCTGGGAAACTAAGAATCACTGATTTAATGTGCATACCTACTTCAGTTATCAGTTACCTAAAGAATTATAGGCAGATACTGACCTCTTTTGAGAAGAAAAACAATGCTTATTATCCTGGGAAGCAAATAGTGACTCCTGTTTACCTCTAGCAACAAGATGGGTAGCTGTGTAAACACCACCATCAATTTTAGATCTGCTCATCTTCAGATATGAGTAACAAATAGCTTCAGGTACTACAGCAGCTCCTGAATTGCTTTGCCTGTTTTGAGAGCCACAGCTGAAATAGTGCCTTTAAATAGTCAAGGGAGGCACTAGTTAAAGAGAAGCTGCAGGTATACTGACTTTCTCTACAAATATAGCTACACTTCCGCACATGTTTTCCCAGCTTAGAAGTAGAATTTTTATTTCCAGTCTAACCTATACATTGTTTAGGCTTTGCACATAGGACTAACCCTGCCCTGCAGTAGCTGGTTTGAGGTTGGGAAAGGGTAGAGCAGCTCACTGTTGACGATGTATGATGTCCCGCTCTATAAGGCAGGACAACTCAGTGCAAGCTGCCACAGTATGCTGCTGCCCAGTGAATGGTGTGTATGGCTCCTCTTAGCTGTATAGTTATTTATATTTATACCTGTAATTTGTTGCCAGTCAGCACACCTACTACTGGCAGCATACCTGCTTCCTGGTGTGAGGGCTACACTCACCTCCTGACCCACAGCTCCACCTGCTAGCTGGTGTCTTTCAAATAAAATATTCAGTTGTTTTGGTTATTAGCCAGACTCTACTATGTGACCATAACTATCCAGAATCAGCTTTTGAAAAATGCATGGGGTGAAATCCTGGCTCCCCTGAAGTCAATGAGAGTTTTTCCATACCCAGCCAGGAATTCACACATGGTTTATTCATGCATCAGTATTCAGCGAGGAATAAATATCTGTTCACTGATACATTTGCTCTGAATGCTGAGCCTTTTAAATCTAGCACTGTCAGAGTTCTACCGTTCAATAGCACAAATCTTTACCAAAGTAACAATGTTATTACTTAGCATTGCTGAAAATCAGCAGCAAGCAGTAATAAAATGCAACAGCAGACTTTGGGGGTTGGGAAAGAGGCAAACAGGAAGCAAGATGCACTGTCCCTTTGGATAATCCAGAAGACTCTAAGCTTGATAGGTCACTATGAACATTTTGGAAAGACTGTCACACCACTAATGGGCAGGTCTGATACTGTCTCCCAGCTCATTGCAGGGGCTGAAGGAGATGTAGCTCTCCCTATGAAGAAGAATGATGGTCTTTGACTTCCCAGCAACTCAGGTGCCAATTGTTTTCAAATACTGCATAAATCAGTTGCTGTTATAACCCCTACATATTACAAATTCATCATGCAAATAATATTTGAGAAGAGGTTATAACTTGGACTGCTGTGTATTCCAAAATCTGTAAGCTATTCTTACTGAAATCAGAGGGTGTGAGGTCAAAAGGGTTCTCTTGTGCCAAAGAATAGGGATGGTGCCTCTGTGCAGAAATAATTTGGCATGTCTTACCTTTTGCCAGCAGCCGGGCATTGGTAATCCATCCGGCCCCTGTTTCAAGGAGAAAGATAAAAAGTGCATAGATGAGCCTGACAGTATATCTGATGAAACAACCATGCCTTCTTAGCTAATGAATAGCTCCCACTTCCTAACTAATACTTTCGTCACTTAAGAAGAGGAAAATTCCAACATCCAACATGAGGCTGAGTGCGCTCACATTGTAAATGCATACAATCCTGCCCCTCCAAAAAATTCAAATCCCAAACTACAGTGTGCCTAATCATGGTAAGAACTTTAAAGCATAACTGCTATATTTTTGCTGTCATAGCAACATTATCAGGGGTCAAATCAGTTGAGCTGGATTAATTGCCAGCCAATTATATGTTAATCTAAAGTTGTATCTATTATTCATAAATCATGGACATTTAGCCACAGATCAGTCAGCAATAGTATATCGCTTACTGGTTTTCTGGTCTTGGTACAAAGTTAACCCATTGATAGGCTATTTATATTCAAACTGCATATGGGAATATTTTCATACATGTTAATTCTTACCTTTATAAAATGAAAACTAAAGGACTGAACCTACTCATACTGAAATCAATGGGGAAAGTTGCCATGAAAGCAGGGTACTAAGGTAGAAGCTGACTATTCTGGAGCATGGATAACATATGGCTGCCAAGCTATTTGTAACTTGGACTGTGCTAATTACAAGCACTTATATACACTCCCAGCACTGTATTCTGTTCTTGCTTAAAACCTCTGTGTCCCCAATTTAGCGCATGGGACAGATTCTGATCTTAGATACACAGGTTATAATGAAGTTAGTCCTGATTTACACTGCGGTAGAGGACCGATCCTGTAACGTGAGTCGAGGGAATTCAGCACCTCACAGAACTGGACTATAAATGAGAGGAGAATCAGGCCCCAATCATTTATTAGGTTAAAGGCAATACTACTTTATACTTGGTTTCTTATCTGCTAACAATTCTGAGAAACAGTGTTTGTGTGTTGTGTGTGGGGTGGCTTTATTTATTTATCCATTTATTTATTTATTTTTCTGGCAAAAACTACCTGCTTTCTAGAACACAAAACAGTGTTGTTTGTTTAAAAGCTTATTCTGATAACTGTATCTATCCCACCAACAGAAGAACATTTTTCACAGCAATGGTGTAAGGGTTCTCCAGATATAAATGATACTACAAAGACAAACACATTTTTTAATTATGAAGGCATGCTTGATTACCCCCCAACAAAATATGAGATATGGTTATCATTAATCAGAAGCAAACAAAATATTACATGGACTATGTACTTCAGATTAAAATTCCACTGACAATTTAGATTAGAAACTTTGTACTTGATATAAAACCTACTTAATTTTAACATTCATCTTTAGATAATCGTGCTTAGCTAACAAACAATATCAGAACATGCAGACCAAATTTAACTGCCAACAATTAAAAACACCTATATCTTGAGTCTTTTCGGAAATGTGTATGTACTATTCAATTTTAATTGGAAAAAATAAAGCGTACTTAGATTTAAAAAAAAAATCTGTGTTGCCAGATTGGTACAAGGGAGAGGGTCAACAAGTAGAATTTTAGTATAGGGGGGAACTTGAATTCATGCTAACACAGAGTGGGGGAGTATTGTGTGTATTGCAGGGAGGTAAGTTCCAAAGGAAAGACCATTAAATTGAAAACGTTAAATAACGAAGACAGTGAGGGTTTGGGCTGCAGACCATTATCTTCTTACAAAGCTCATCTAAGTTTTGTGTTTCAAATTTAAATACTATTCTGATCTATGGGCCCAATCCCAAAAACTTTGTTCATAGGGCCTCATCCTGCAGATCTTACTCATATCTTTGCTTATTGCAAAGCTCTATGATTTAACTCTGACAGATTGATATTTATCTCATTCTCTGCATAAATGTCATCTTGGCTCAATTCTGAAAAAACGATGCACTCAAAACTCCCATTGATTTCAGCTGGAGTCAAGTGTGCAGAATCATTTCAGGTGCAGGTTAGGGTGAAACTAACTCCTATGCAGAGGGCCAGCATGAGGTCCCCACACCACTTACGCCGTGGGACTTAAATAACGTGTGGTCCTTGTGGTGGCTCTCTGCAAAGAGGTGTATTTCATTCTTAGTGAGTAAGGCAAAAGGCATTTGTTGGGGGAAAAAACAAACAGTGCTGAGGGAAAAATTATGTTGGAAGAACACACTCAAACTACCATGTGATGTGGGAGCAAAATGCTGGGTGTTAGGTTCCAGGTGTTGACAGAATGTGTCTTCTCGATACGGTTATGATTGCTGAAGCAGCTGATTTGTTCATGCACATGCATGTATTAGGTGGATAATGTAAAGTCCGCTCAGAAAAACACCACTTTACACTGAGAATGACTGACCATATACAAAGGAATTGCATGCAGGGTTGGTAGGAAAGAGAAATACTGTACCAATTGGCAAGGGGCATCCAGCCCATCCAGGCCTGGCTGGCCTGGCTCCCCTTTTTCCCCCTTAATTCCACGGAATCCCTGTTTGTAAAGATTAACTTGCAACGTTACTGACAAAGAAGTGTCTTTGGTATTTGATTTAGCTGGAGCCAAAAAAAAAAAAAAGAGACCAAGAGGAGCAAGCTTACAGCAGCAGTGATTAAAACCCGTGTGGAAATGACCCAGGTGCAGTCTCACATCTAAGACCTTAGTGTTTAAATGACCCTCCAATCAAGAAAGAACTACTTAGCACAACAGGTTTCCAATCTGTACAGAACACTGACAGGTAAGTACAAATAGCCAGAATGTCTATGCAGCGCATTCCATGAAAAATATTTCATAAGTGACATTCATTTTTAAGATCTCCAAACTGGTAATTTAAACCAAATTAGGAGGACAAAAAATAGTCATGCTGGAATTTGCAGACTAGGAGAGGAAACCCTTTGAATGATACCAGGTTACACTATAGCTGTGGCTTGTTCCTCTCCTCTCGCTTTATCCGGTTATAATCTACAGCAGGAGGAGCGATTTCCAATACATGAGTGAGACATACCAATGGGCAAGGTGCATCTAATCCAGGGGCACCCTGTTCTCCTTTCTCCCCTTTAGGCCCCTTTTTGCCTTTCTTTCCCTTTTCCCCCTGTGGACACAATGGTTTGGATAAAACAAATGTTTCATTCTTTTGGGTAAAAAAATATAAATGAAAGAGATTGGTTTAAAAGATGGGTTTTTTTGCCAGTGGAGGGCTGAAAGGACACTTACCACTGTGTTCTGGTTTGGATGGTGCATTATGTGGAAAAATAAATAATATGATCATAAGCAAGAACTGCATCAGTTGGTATTATTGAGCTTTTGTATTAATGCCAGTATTATGAATTATTTGAATCCTAAAGTAGGGTTTGAAATGATAGGCTGACTTCCTGATTCAAACTGTGGGCAAGGACAGAAACGGCAAGCAGAATGTGTCCCTTTCTTTGGGAGTTACATAGGAAGAGGAATTTCTAGTCAGAGGTGTCTTTGGAACAACTAAACAGATCAATCTCATTTCTGCCAATGGGGGGACGGGAGGGGAAAATAGTGGGAACAATTTATTCCCGGTGTGATTCAGTGGAGTCACAGCAGGGATGACTATGTCCCAACATGTCTTTTACTGAATGAACCTTGCATGCATCAGTCCCAGTAGAGTCTGGGCCAAATTCTGCCCTCAGTTACCCCCATGCAAACCCACTGAAGTCAAGGGAATGGCACGGATACCACTCAGAACAGAATTTGGCCCTTCATTTCAAACCCTGCTAAATGACTCAGAAGATCCAAACTGCTTGATGTTGAAGTGCTATAAAATTTTCCAGTGATCTCTCTCTTTCTGTAATTAGAAATGCTAATGAATATTTACATTTAAATTTCATGTTCAAAACATGATTTTCAAATACCTCTCCACTGCAGGTAAAATTTCATTGGTTTATCATTATTCACTCCTTTAAGCAGGTGACGGAGTTGCTTTGTAAAAAAGCAAATGATTAAGATTTCTGAAAGAGAGGTTTACAGCAAATTTCACAGCTTTTGATAATCCATAGAAATGAGACACGGAAAAAGAATCTTCAGGCCTACCCTGGAAGGGTGACTCCCCTCAAGCAGTATGTGATATTTGGAGAGTCAATTTTATAATTGATTTCACACCAGTTGATCACAATGGTAAATGAGTTTCAGGCTCACTTGCAGTTTAATAAAACCAAAACGGCTTCTATAAAAAAAAAAAAAAAAAAAAAAAAAAAAAAAAA